CCAGTTGTTTATGGAATGCGTGGTTATCAGATCACATTCACACACATTTCTAAATGTAGGAATCAGTCAGCCCGGCCCCCTGCTGTGATATTTTACGTATAGGGAATGCATCTCTGCGGGAGTCCGTGTTTTCCCTGACGAGGGAATAACGCGGCTCTCCCAGGACAACAAGACCCTGAAGGAGACAGTTTTGGACCCTCAGGCCCGCAACTAGAGGGACAACCTTTGTTTGGAGAATGAATCAAAACACAACATCAAAACTACTTGAAAGGTTTTGTATATTTTTTTTATAAAGTTTTGAGCATTAAATGCTCTTTATTCATTTGTAGAAGTATTTGTTCTGTTGGAATTAATCTGGCATGTGAGAATGTGAAATGAATAATAAATAAATAAATAAATAAATAAATAAATAAATAAATAAATAAATAAATAAATAAATAAATAAATAAATAGAATAAAAGAATATATTGTGATTTAGATTTTAGGCCATGTATCCCTCATTCCTACCCAGATGTAGTTCCCACCCCTCTCAAGCACACTCAGGTTAAACCGCTGCTAAAAACAAAAACATCCCTACCTCCAAATCATGCAGAGAACTACCAGCCTCTCTCTCCTCCCATTCCTGTCTAAAATATTCGAAAGGGCGACCTTCAAGCAGGTCCCAGGACACCTCTCACGAAACTGTCTGCTCGACCCTTCCCCATCTCGGTTCCAAAATGGCCACTCCACTGAAACAGCTCTGTTAGCTGTGACAGAACACTTAAAATTTCCCTCTGGGATTAATAAAGTGTTTTTGAATAGAATTGAAAAGAAGTTAGAGTGACGGCCAACTCCTCAGTACTTATCCTGCTTGATCTGTTGGCTGCATCTGACCCCGTCATCCATGGCTTCCATTTGTCCACTCTCTAGCATGGGCATCGCAGGAAAAGCACACTACTGGTTTGAATCGTACCTGACAGGACGATCATTCAGTGTATCTTGGCTCGGACAATCTTCTGCTGTTCACCATCTTACCACAGGAGTCCACCAGGGCTCTGTACTAGGCTCTCTTCTCTTTGCCATATACACCACCTCACTGGGTAAGATCATCCGATCACACTTTGAGCTAAACTAAAATAATTTCCCTCTGGGATTATTAAAGTATCTTAGAATTTGAATAATGTGTTTTGGTAATAAAAATATTTAATCCAATGTTGAATTAATGATAGATCAGACCTGTATAGAAATAACATGTGAGCATAAATTTCTTGGTGTGATCATAAATCTGCCGGAAACCTCATGTGGCCTATTTATCATCAAACATCTCAAACAACATTGCAGTTATTGGAAAAACAAAACATTGTTTGGACTGCAACTCACTGTTGGTCTTAAACTCATCTCTAATTTTACCTTACTTATGCTACTATGTGGAAATATAGGGAAATACGTATAAAACCACCCTCCAACCTCTTTGTTACAGAAAAAAAAGCATTAAGACTTATTTACAATGTAGGATTCAGAGAACACAGTAATCCACTGTTTTTAAGGGCAAAGGTTTTAAAATGACTGGATCCAGTCAAGTTTAAGACGGCAAAGCCTGAGGGGTGAGCTGAACTGTAAGATAATGAAAGTAAGAACATCAATTAGACAAATGAGTGTTTCTATAAGTGGAGTAAACTTGTGGAATGGGTTAGATGAGAAGCTTAAGAACTGTATCAGAATCAGAATCAGAATCAGGTTTTACTGCCATATGTGTGCCAAGTCACATCATTAGGAAATTGCTGCGGTATTTGGTGCAGAAGGTGAGAAAGAAAGACAAATTAAGAGATAAGCAAATATAGGAAGTAATAAAACACTCATGATAAAATTATTAATGTAAAAAGTGGCAAGAATTAGAGAAGCAGCTATCTACCCCGTGTAAAATGATAAATGACCCGCACTTGTACAGCGCCTCTCAGAGTCAGGACTCCAAAGTGCTTTACACTACAGTGTATCATTCATCCATTCACACACACATTCACACACTGGTGGTGATGAGCTACGATGTAGCCACAGCTGTTCTGGGGCGCACTGACGGAGGTGAGGCTGCCGAGCACTGGCGCCACTGGTCCCTCCGACCACCACCAGCAGGCAAGGTGGGTTAAGTGTCTTGCCCAAGGACACAACAGCAGAATTCTCTGTCCGGCGCCGGGATCGAACCTGCAACCTTCCGATTACTGGACAACCCGCTCAACCTGTTGAGCTACTGCTGCCCAGGTACTAATCTCAGTGTTTTTCAAGCACAGCATCGGGTCACGTGACTGGGACCTATCGACCTGAGTGGGCTGCCGTAGGATTTTCATTAAAAAGTCCAACTGCAGAGGGGAAGAAACTGTTTTTGTGGCGAGAGGTTCTGGTCCGAATGGATCTGAGCCTTCTGCCAGATGGGAGCGAGCCGAAGAGACCGTGTCCAGGGTGACACGAGTCAGCTATTATCCAACCTGCACGCCTCTATGTCCTAGAGGTGTACAGATCTTGTATGGAGGGGAGTTTGCAGCCAATGACCTTCACTGCAGAGCGCACGACACGCTGCAGCCTCTTCTTGTCCCTGGTGGTAGCTCCAGCGTACCACACGGTGATGGAGGAGGTGAGGATGGACTCGATAGCGGTGTAGAACTGGCTGGTCTCGTGCAGGAGACGAGACCTTTTACTTTCACTCTGAATAAAGTTAATCTTCCCTTAATCATAAATAACTTTTTCTAACGTGATAATTGCATAAGTGTCATATAATCATCCATCCATCCATTGTCTGAACCCGCTTCGTCCACGAAGGGTCGCGGGGGTCTGGTGCCTATCTCCAGCGGTCAATGGGCAATCAGGCAGGGTACACCCTGGACAGAGAGCCAGTCCATCGCAGGTCATATAATCATCTCTTGTTAAATCCTAAAGTGTGTGAATAATGTGTGCATTAATCGATGATAGTAATCTGTACTATATTTTGATCTTAGCACACGAGTTTAGGCTAACGTCTTTAACTCACCTGTTTCTCCCTCTGGTTGGTCTCTGCTCTCTGGGCCGTGCAGCAAACTCATAACTTTATGGTTCTGGTCCATCAGAAGTAGAATTATAAACATAAAGTTTTCTCTGTGTCAGAGCTGCATTAGAGTCCAGATTTTTCTCTGGATTAAGCTAACAGGACTCCCAAAAATGACTCCCAATGCCTAAATAATTTAGGTACGTGTATATTTTTATTCAGAACGAGTTCCTAGTTCCCTTAAAACATAGTTTAAGGGAGGCTCTAACCTGCAACTTGTGTTTGCAGAACATTAAAATTATTTTATTTTTCTACCTGTTCAGTTGGGTTTCATCACTCTTAACCACAGAGTAGGGTTGTCATGGTAACGGGTGTAGCGGTAAACCCCGGTAAAAAAAAATTGACAACAATAATAACCGTCTTGTTTTTAAAAAAACTATATTATCTCAGTGGATTACCGTGGCTGCGGTGTAGGCGCGGTGACCCTTACCAGCCACCGTATCATCTGCTGAAGTTGCCGGCGGCACATGCACACTTTGTTGTTTACAACCAAAACTTTCTTGAAGCTAAAGCTGAAATAATGGCCAAAGGAGGAGACGGCAGCGCTCAGGAGGACATTTATTATCCTTCAAAGAAGACAAAGTCGGAAGTACGGGCATTTTCTGGATATTTGAAGAATGTCGAGGGACAGTTGATAGAAGACGGCTATCCTGTTTGCAGCACGAGCAGAAAAAGTGTCTGTGAAAGGCAGCAACGCTTCAAATCTCATGACACATCTGCGTGACCATCACCCACAACTCTACAGTCAACGCAAGGCAAGCTAACGTTAGCGTTTTAGCTAAAATGCGTGATCCGAGGATTTGGGTTGAGGGAGAATGCAACGAGTCGCTATATAAAGCTGCCGCAGCGCCGCTACCTGCATATAAACCGTGTCGCGGACACCGCCACCACAGAGTAGTTAAGTGTTCAGTCCAGCTGCGGCGTGGGCCTACCCAACCGGGGTAGTTGTGCTGTTTCCCGTCTGTGTCTAAAATTGTTCACCCTGTTAGTGGTGAACTTCTCATAATAGCTACGCAGGTGCAGCTTTTTGATGCGTGTCTCTGGAACATGTTTAAACGGCTGGGAATAAAACTCTGTCATTAAACTTCTTACTGAAAAAAAACAATAAACAATCATTCAAAGGTAAGAAAATGAGCCAATCAACTCATTTACAGTCACCAAGTTAACGGCACCGGTCACCTCTGCTCTGCTGTTAACCAGGTTTCATAGGTACTAGACCCTACTTGTTCCAGTCTTCTGTGTAGCGGTGAAGAGTGGATTCAGCTCCCTTCAAAGAGCCAGAAGTCCCATCACTAAAAAGCACGATAACTTTGAAGTATAAAAATAAAATATAAAGAACAAGAACTTGGTTTTTGATCTACTTTAAAATGAACTTGAAATATTTTTCTGTGGAATAACAAATGTGAGTGTAGTAGTAACAGAACACATCTTGGTGATGTCTAATGTCATTTAAAAGCTGTTGAGAGAGGAATCAATACTAACCGCTCACAGTGAGGTCCAGCATAGCCTTCTTGGCATTTGCAACGCTGGCCGGCGTTATCACAGTGCACAGCAAAGCTGTCCAAAACACAGGGAGGTGTGTCAGACATTACACATATCCAGCCAACACCCAGCACTCAGGCCGGATACACAATAAAAACAACATACTTGTTGGAGGGAATGGCGAGGGGACAGGCACAGGGTGAGCAGATAAGTTGCCCATCCGGCTGGAGACTCAGAATATATCCATCTTCACACATTTCACAGAAATCACCTATTCTGTGCCCCCTGCACTTCTGAAAATAGAAGAGTGAGATTTGTGGCCCAACCTTTGGTTTATTAGAGGCAACTCAGTTAGAAAACTTACTATGCAAACACCAGTGATGTCTTCACAGTGGTCAGAGTGTCCCTTGCAGTTACATGGTAGGCAAAGGTTCTTGTCACTGAGGAAAAAACCCCTTTCACACAC